TCTACCACCAGAGTTCTTTTGTTGAGGATCCGGAATGCCTTGCTTGTTGCTGAGTAGCCCAGGAAGATCCCTTCATCAGATTTGGGATCAAATGGCTTGAGATAGTCTTTTCCATTGTTTAGAATGAAGCATTTGGATCCAAACACATGGAAATGACTAACATTAGGCTTTCTTTCTTTCCATAGTTCATATGGAGTCTTTTTGTAGGTCTTATGAATGAGACTTCTATTCTGGGTGTAGCAAGCAGTGTTGATTGCTTCTGCCCAAAATCTTTTGGGCATACCAGCTGCTTCTAAGATGGTCCTTCCGGCTTCCTTGAGTGTCCTATTCCTTCTCTCAGCAACACCATTTTGTTGAGGTGTTCTTGCAGCTGAAGTTTGGTGATGGATTCCGTTTTCTTTGCAGTACTGAATTACTATAGAGTTGAGGAATTCAGTACCTCTATCTGACCGGACCTTCTGAATTGAGAGACTTTTCTCATTTTGAATTAGTTTCATCAGTTCTGGAAGTTTCTTCTCTGTTTCATTCTTTTTCTTTAAGAATATGGTCCAAGTGTATCTTGAATAATCATCAACTATCACCAGTGTGTATCTTCTACCACTTAAACTTGTTGGTTCAACTGGTCCAAACAAGTCAAGGTGTAGTAGGTTTAAGGGCCTAGTTGATGATTCCAGTTCCTTTGATTTGAATGATACCTTGGTTTGTTTCCCTTTTTGGCAAGCATCACAGAGATGGTCCTTCTTGAAATTGATCTCAGGAAGTCCTTTCACCAATCCTTTTCTGGACAATTTGTTGATTGTTTTGAAGTTGAGATGGCTTAATTTGTTGTGCCATTCCCAACTCAAATTTGAATCTGCCTTTGTCACCAAGCAGATCCCTTCCTTTGCTGAGCTCCAATCAACGATGTACATGTCCTTCTTTCTTCTACCAGTGAGCACAGTTTTGTCATTTTTGACATCTCTAATCAAGCAGATGTCTTTGGAGAATGTAACATTATAGCCATTGTCACAGAGCTGGCTTGTGCTTATGAGATTGAACTTTAACCCTTTAACATAAGATATGTTTTGGATTGTAAGTCCATTGATGGATAGGTCTCCAGCTCCTTTGGTTTCTCCTTGTTTTTCCACATTCCCAAAAGTAACTTTGGGTCCTTCGCTTGCCATATAGTTTGACAGGAGCCGCCTGCTGCCTGTCATGTGCCTGGAGCAGCCTGAATCTATGTACCATGTTTGTGAGTCAACTGCTCCAGCACCTTCCTGTATTCATCATTGTTGAGCAGTAGCCCACAAGTTAGTGGGCAACTTCCTTTGTACAAGTTTGGGCATCCATGTCCATCTAGAACCATTTAGTTCTAAGCAGATTGGTCTATAGCCATTTGAGGTGTTATAGTCATGGGGGATGACTATGTATTTGTTAATCCTTTTCCTTCTTAAAATGGGAAATGGATTATTGGCTTTTGGAGGACACTGCTTAGTGTTATGACTGTGGTTGGTCTTATTGGTTGGTTGCCAACGGGTCCTTGGGGTTTGATGGTTGGGAAGTTTTTGTTTATACAGGAATTTGGATTTTGATTTGGGAGCAGGCAGGTTCCTTCTTATGGGACCATTTTGAGAATGGGATTTTTGGTAGATTAGCTTTCTTGTATTTTGTTGGTGGCTTGTGGAGGGTGAGTTTTGAGTGAGTCTGGTGGGGGATACATATCCGAGCCCTCTTCTCTTCCTATTTAGAACAACTTCAGCAGTAGAGTCACATGTTTTACTATCCATGCTGAAGTTATTCATTTTGTCTTTCAGCTCTTTGTTCTCTTCTTCTAAGACATTGTTTTTTGTTAAGGCATCTAACAATTTTGTATGAATAGCCTTAATGTCTTGTTTTAATCTATCATTTTCTGATCTTAAGAGAACATGGTGATTTTGGACTTTTTGGAAGTCTTGTAATAAAGATTCCAGTGTAATATTGGTTGATCCAGAATCACTAGAGCTATAAGAAGAGCAGGATGTTACCTCAATATCATTGTAGTGGTCTTTGGCCATTAGGCATTTAGGGGAGCTGTATTCATCATCTTCACTGAGCCATCTGCTGCTTTCTTCAGTGAGCCAGCTGCCGCCTTTTTCAGCCATCTGCCAGGATCCTAGGCATAGAAGTGCTTCCTCTGAGCTTTCAGATGAAGAGCTTTCATCACTTGAACTGCTTTCATCTTCAGATTGGGGTTCCTCCTTTTTCTTTTCACTTACAAAGGCTTGCCTCTTGCCTTTGAAGTCCTTCTTATAACCAGCTTTGGGACCAGTCCCCTGCTGCCCTTGATACTTCTGGGCTAAGGGCAGAGGGCATTCATTTTTGTAATGTCCTGGTTGTCTACAGTTGTAGCACAGGACAGTTTCCTCGTTGGTTTGAGGTCTCCCTTGTTTCCTGGGTGGTAGATTGTATGGTCTTTTTGGAGCAGTTCCCTCCTTTTTCATGAACCTTTTAAACTTCCTTACAAACATAGCGAACTGCTCGTCAGTAAGGAGGTTGTTGAGGGATTTTTCACTAGATCTTGACGGGCCAGGCTCAGAAACTAGAGCTAGTGTCTTGGATTCATCTTCCTTTTCTTCTTTTATCTCCTTCATTTCAAATTCATAGGCCTTGAGATCACTGAAGAGTTTGTCGGTTGACAAAGTTCTGAGATCTCTGCTATCTCTCATAGCAGTTACCTTCATGTCCCACTTTGATGGCAGGCCTCTCAAGACTTTAAGGGAAATTTCTTTTTGAGATAGTTCTTTCCCAAGGTCAGAGACCTCTGCCACAATCTTCAGGAATCTGGATTCCATCTCATGAATAGATTCAGTTGACAGCATTTTGAAATCTTCAAATTTCTTGAGGGCTATGGTCAGTTTATTGTCCTTCTCCTGTTCATCTCCTGCTCCAATCTTTGTGAGCTCATCCCAGACATCTTTGGCAGTTTCGCATTTCCTGATTCTGGGAAATATAGATTCATCAACAGATTTGAAGAGAATGTCCTTGGCAATGTTGTCAAGATTGTTTCTCTTCCTGTCCTCAGTTGTCCATTCCATTTTGGGTTTTGGAATGTACACATCATCTGTCCCTTCTGTGGTTCTGGATGTGATGACCTTCATTATTTTGATAGGTCCATCAGTAATTACTTCAAGCATTTCATCATGTAAAGCACTGAGATGTGCTTTCATCCTTATTTTCCAGTCATCAAATTTGTTCAAGTTGAACAGAAGGTTCTTTGCTAACTGACTGTCCATTTTAGAAGGTGTTTGGGAAGTAGAGTGGCTTGGATCTTTAGTTCAAATTAGTCAGAAACTGACTCTAGGAACACTCTGCTCTGATACCACTTGATGGTCCTGGATAGGGTAAAAGTCTAGAGGGGGGGGGGGGGGTGAATAGACTTTTAAATCTTTTTCACCTTTTTCAAGTTTTACCTCTAGATGAATTGATCTATAATCTTTTGAGAGATTAATAGATGCACAGCGGAAGTCTTTACCCTTTTTCTAATGAGTGTGTGACAACTTTCTACCTTCAATGATGTTTGGACTTCAAACTGTGAGCAGTTGGCTTGGCAGTTAGCTAGATGGCAAGGAACTGCTGAGGCAACTGCCAGTTGAAAATAGAAGTTTGAGAAAGATGATAATATGGCCTTGCAGAGAATGATGAGGGCTTTCTGAATATATGTTGAGCTGAAGGTAGTAAAGAGTTTTGCCTGAGCAGTGGTCTGAGCAGTTGGGTAATCCCAGGAAACTGCTAAGCCGTCTGCTGCTTATAAAGAAGTATCTTTGAGGACTGACCAATCACACCTTTTTGTAGTGATATTTAAAGCTTGTGGGAAACAGAAGTCTCAAGGAAAAGTGAGTTATTAAGCAGTAGGATAAGCAGTAGAGTCAATTAAGACGACTGCTTAGGATGCTGCTGGCAAACTACGATCCCTTTAGTGAGAAGTATTGGGTGTGTGCTGTGGTGAGTAAAGGAGAATCAACACACAATGTATCCTGGTTCAGAGGTGGTGTAATCCTCCTACATCCAGTCCCACCCTCTTTCAGATGGATTTCACTAAAGTATTCAGCCCAATACACTTAGTGCCAATCTAGCCTTTACAACACTTAGGCCTAGATTGAAGGTTTTTCACAATGAGTATAACACCACTCAAAGTTACTCAGTCCTTAGACTTTTCTCAATCGATCCAGTGGGGATCAAAAGGTACTCTATCTATCTACCCACACTTTAGGATCCGAACAACTGTTCTCCTAAGTGTTTACAACCACTTGTGTAATGTTTACAAGAAAGTTCTAACCTCCAACTATGAACTAAGCTCTAAAAATGTGAAAGTGTTGATCTAATCTAAGAGCTTAGTGAAGCATGAGGCTAAGCAGAGAGTAAAGTTGAGTTTGCACTTTCTCTTTTGCTAGATAGCTCGTAAATGCTTTGATGAAAGTATTTCTCTACTTAGGATGCTCAAGCTTATTTTTGAACTCATGCTTCTACCTATATTTATAGGCCTTCATGGTTGATTGATCTCATCCGTTGGTTGAGATGGATTAATCTTGTGCGTTGAGGTTCTGGCTGGGACGAATTGTACATTCGTCTTCTTGTGCAGGAGCTTTTAATCCTTTTGTTTTCTGTCTTGAATAATTGGGCCGCGGCATGGGTTTGTCTTCAGCCGCTGCAGCTTCACTCCAAAAGGACGTCCCATGCTGTAGGACCATGTACCTGTTTAAGTTTTTAATGCTGGTCAAGTTTTGTCTTCCAATCATACAACTTTGATGTATATGATTTTTCGAGCATCTTTAAAATGTGACATTTATTTAATCTTTGAGTCAAATGATATGTGCCGGTTGGATCTAAATATCCGTTTAAGGTAAAAAAAATACCTTATTGCATTTTTACTTTTTCCGGTACTATTTCATTGGTCTCAAAAATTGTACATTTATTTTGTCACATTTGAATAATTTGAGTGCTAATACCTGAATTTAATTTGGACACAATGTACGGGTGCAAAGTATAGTGGCATCATCAAAATCTTATCAAAATTGGGTACTAACACATTGGATCGAGAAGGAAGGTTTTAAAGCTCATTTGAGGTGAGGATCGACATCTAGTTGCTTACAACTTGTAGGTTAAGCATGAGATTACCTAAATGCCTAAATAATGTTTTCCATGGATTATGATGATAAACTATTGATGGAATATTGATCTATTTTCCAAAGAATGAATTGGGAAATGATTTGGTGAAGTATTGATAAAAATGGAGTTAAATGAACTATTGTGTGAAATAGGCATTTTACTCATGTGTGCATTGTGTAGATACATAAATGATTATTTATGTATTACATTGAATGATTAAGTTGCTGCTACATATCTCTAAATATGTAGGGTTTTACAAATGGAATATATGATGGATAAGAATAATCTTAATAGTATTGAAATACTAGTTAATGATTGTTGTAATTGTTAAGGAATTGAATCTATGGATTTGATTGAAATTGATGAACTTGATTGTGATGCAAGTGACTAAATTGATGTAATGTGATGCTAATACCATGGTTGGGCAGTCCGTAAGGACGTCCCAAAATAGATTATTGATATTACAATTCTAGGCATAGTGAGTGCTTAGGAATTGGGGTCTATGCCAATGTAAGGAGATGTACTTGAGCCGTGCTCATAGAATTGCATTGGGTAGACATGATGAGGTGATTGTAGTGCTTGGGAATTGGGGTCTATGCCAATGTAAGGAGATGTACTTGAGCCGTGCTCATAGAATTGCATTGGGTAGACATGATGAGGTGATTGTAGTGCTTGGGAATTGGGGTCTATGCCAATGTAAGGAGATGTACTTGAGCCGTGCTCATAGAATTGCATTGGGTAGACATGATGAGATGATTGTTGTGCATGGTGATGTAGTCGAGTTGGACTCGAGAATGCAAACATATGTGTTAGGGTTGAACCCTATGTATTGTTGTGACTAGGGGTCACGGGATTTTGGGGTATGTTTGATGAACAAACCTTGGGCCTATGGGCCGACTACTTGACTTTATATATAAAGTAAGTATATTTTTAAAAAAGGGGTAACTTGGGGTTACGGCCTATATTATACTATCACCCTATTTGAGGGTCTTGTGTTTGAAATACTTGTTGTATATCTATTAGATGCCATCCACACCAGCACTTTATAGCCCTATAGAGTGCTGACCCCTTCGGGGGCGTCCCACCACCATTTTTCAGGTTGAGGCTAGAGCTTGCTTCCTGTGCTCGTTGCTCGAGAGATCATCTAGGAGCGAAGACTTGGTTCGTGCTTCCTCCATTCGGGTTTTAAACATTAATAAACATGCTCATGGATATTTTACTATAGAGCCTGCGTGCTCATGAATAGCCCGGTGTGGCCTTTTGTTTTAAACAATGTTTTCCGCTGCGTTATGAATTACTTATTATGTTTTGTTTATGGATGTATATGTGTGAATGATATTCAAGACGCCTTGTATATTATGAATGTGTTGAACTGCGGTTGACTATTCATATTGTACGGCGGGTTGTTGACGTGTCCGGATAGGTCCGGGGCGTGACAATTAAGTTGGTATCAGAGCCTTAGTCCATAAACTTCATAATGAAGTCTCAAAATTCTCTTTTCAAAATGATTTTTGAAAACCATGAGCAAAAACGTTTTGTACTTAAGAACTTTTGGTGTTTGAGTTGCAAGGTCTCTAATTGTTAAGATGGCGCCCTTAACGATTGGTATGGCGGTGACTTGACCCAAGAGATGTCTTAAGTGCCTATCTGTCAGTTGACATTTGAAACGAGTCTAATGACTCATTCTAATTATTTCTTTCAGCGATGGAGGGTGATGGTGGTATTATGAATAGGGAGAACTCGGAAGGGCTTGCACCGGGTGGAACCGGGCATGCCAACCGAGAAAAGCCCTTAGGACCAAAGGTGCATGAAATTCTTGAAGCTCAAATCGTGAGTGGTGGTCATGTTAAGACCAAGGAAAAATCACCTTGTTATGGCAAAACTGAACCACTCAAGGCTTCGGGTGACGAAGGAGATGGTTTGAGTGATGAGGACCTTGATAATGCACCCATTGAACAAATGGGCATGGTCATAAATTGGCTTCAACGTGAACGTGCAAGACTTATACAAAAACGCCAAGCTAGGCAAGTTAAGGACGCACCATTAGGAAGGAAAAGAAAATGGGGAGACCACGACCCCCAAGGACATTCTAGGAGGACAAATGTTGAGGGTGACAAAACCTTCGGGGCACACACATTATCGCTTGGGAGGAGTCGAGGCTCGGGTGGCCAGAGCTCGAGGTCAAAAGGTTCGAGAGTACCTAAGTGCACAAATTGTAAGAAGCACCACCCGGGTAAGTGTTGGGACCCTCCTAGGTGCTACCGATGCAGAGAGATCGGGCACACGAATGCGAATTGCCCACAACTTGTACCCGACCAAATTTTGGGCTCAAGTAGTACGACTATAGGCATACGGAGTCAAGCCGGGGCCTCTCAAGCAAGTAAGGAACATGGCGGAGCAAGTGTGAGCAACGCGCCGTCTGTGAATCAAGGGAGGACTCACGCTAGAGTCCATGCGATGGCGGAGGCGGATGCTCAAGCTAACCCGGATTCCGTTGCAGGTATCGCCTCTCGTATACTAGTGTTTTATCCTTAATTAGTCCGTAAATTGAGGTAACTAATTGTTAGGATCAATGCACGAAGCTTTAGGGTCGAACCAGGAAGATTTCGGACCATTTCGGGCTGTTTTCGCCCAGGCACGGTCGTGCCTAAGGCACGCACGATCGTGCCTGCAAGGCAGTGTCTGCCAGTGAAGTTTCCCGACCCAGGCACGATCGTGCCTAAGGCAGGCACGATCGTGTCTCCAAGGCAGTGGCGTCCTGGGCTTTTTCCCAAGCCAGGCACGATCGTGCCTACCCCAGGCACGCCGTGCCTGGCACCCAGATTGCCGAAATATGATTTTTCGCACCGTTTTGCGACGATAAGACCTTTTCTTGATCCCTAACATGCGTGTGAACATTGTAACCTCCTATAAATGATTAGGGAGGGTAGGAGAAATGTCTTACATGGTTCATGAATGTAGGGACACTAAAGATTAATGGGAAGGATGCGCGAATCCTTATTGATACCGGGGCGCAACGTTCGTTTGTGAATGAAGCGTTCGCCAAGAGGTTGGGAGTGCGATCCGCACCATTGATGCAAACCTTAGTGGTATCAACACCACTAGGGGATGACGTGGAAAGAACTTGTTACTATCCATCTTGTGGGGTGGAGGTTAATGGTCAAACCTTGACGTGTGACTTCGTACCGCTGAGCATGATTGAATTCGATGCAATCCTAGTGATGGATTGGCTAGAAAGGAACCATGCTAGGGTAGATTGCCACACGAAGGTTCTTGAACTCGAAGGCAATGATGGGGAGACCCTACGCTTCGAGGGAAATCGAGGGGGATCAAATAGCTGTATCATATCCGCCGTGAGAGCGAGAAGTATGATGAGAAAGGGATGCCACGCATATCTAGCATACGTGGTTGACAAAACCAAAGAGGAAACGAACATCGATGATGTGAGGGTGGTTTGTAAGTATCCGGATGTCTTCCCTAAAGACCTACCGGGGCTTCCACCTGATAGAGAGATTGAATTTGTGATCGGGGTCGAGCCTGGTACCAAACCAATCTCCATACCGCCATACCGTATGGCGCCCGCCGAACTTAACAAGTTGAAAACCCAATTGCAAGAGCTTTTGGATAACGGTTTCATTAGACCAAGCCACTCCCCGTGGGGAGCGCCAGTTCTTTTTGTGAAAAAGAAAGATGGGACACTTCGAATGTGTATTGACTATCGTCAACTGAACAAGGTCACAATCAAGAATAGGTATCCTTTGCCTAGAATTGATGACTTGTTTGACCAACTACGAGGGGCAACCGTGTTTTCAAAGATTGATTTGAGGTCGGGTTACCATCAATTGAAGATTAAGGAAGATGACATACCAAAGAGTGCTTTCCGCACAAGGTATGGGCATTTTGAATTCCTTGTTATGTCGTTTGGGTTAACAAACGCCCCAGCGGCATTCATGGACTTGATGAACCGAGTATTCCATAAATACTTGGATCGATTCGTGATTGTGTTCATAGATGACATCTTGATTTACTCAAAGAGTGAAGAAGAGCACGAGGAACACTTGATACTTGTTCTTGAGACACTACGGGAGAAGCAACTTTATGCCAAATTTTCTAAATGTGAATTTTGGCTAAAGGAAATTGGCTTTCTCGGGCACGTGGTTTCAGGATCGGGAATTGCTGTTGATAACAAGAAGATAGAAGCCATTACCGAATGGGAGAGACCAAAGAATGTCAAGGAAATTCGTAGCTTCCTTGGATTGGCAGGTTACTACAGAAAGTTCGTGGAAAAGTTCTCTGTTTTGGCGTCGCCGTTGACGAAGCTCACTCGAGAGGGAGCTAAGTTTATATGGGATGACAAATGTGAGAAAGGATTCATCGAACTGAAGAAGAGATTGACCGAGGCACCGGTACTTGCATTACCCAAACAGGGTGTGGGGTACGATGTCTATAGTGACGCGAGCATCCAAGGGTTTGGATGCGTGTTGATGCAGAATGGGAGGGTAATCGCCTATGCTTCACGACAGTTGAAGAAGCACGAGGTGAATTATCCTACTCATGACTTGGAGCTGGGGGCTGTGGTGTTTGCACTGAAGATATGGAGACATTATCTCTACGGGGAGACATGTCACATATACACTGATCACAAGAGTTTGAAATACGTGTTTACTCAGAAAGAGCTAAACATGAGACAGAGACGGTGGATGGAGTTGATAAAAGACTACCATCTAGTGATAGAGTATCACCCAGGCAAGGCAAACGTGGTGGCAGATGCTTTGAGTCGGAAGAGCTCGTCTGGGGCATTGCTAGCTAATTTGAGGGCATTAAGAGCCCAACTGGAGGTATCCAGCGATGGTGCCTTATTGGCACGATTTGAGGTGAGACCTACTTTACTTGATGAGATCAAGAAGGGTCAAGAGACTGACGCAGAACTTATGAAGGTCCGGGAACGCATGCAAGCGGGACCGGTGGAGGATTTCAGGGAAAGAGATGATGGTCTCTTGTTATTTCGTGACCGAGTGTGTGTGCCGTCAGATGATGAGCTCCGAAAGTCCATCTTAGAGGAGGCTCATTCATCGGCTTATGCCATGCACCCGGGGGGCACGAAAATGTACCGTGATTTGAAAGAAAGTTACTGGTGGTCTGGAATGAAGAGGGAAATAGCCGAGTACATCAGCCGATGCCTTACTTGTCAACAAGTTAAGGCAGAACATCAGCATCCAGCAGGCTTGTTACAACCACTTTCCATTCCTGAGTGGAAGTGGGAACATGTGACTATGGATTTCGTGGTAGGTTTACCACGGACAATTCGGAACTACGATGCGGTTTGGGTTGTTGTGGATAGGCTCACAAAGAGTGCACACTTCTTGCCTATCAACACTACCTACCCACTTGAAAGGTTAGCCAAATTGTATACGGATGAGATCGTGAGGCTGCATGGGGTCCCAGTGACCATTGTATCCGATAGAGACCCACGATTCACATCACGTTTTTGGCCGAAATTTCAAGAGTCTATGGGAACGAGGTTGAAGTTCAGTACTGCTTTCCATCCACAGACGGATGGGCAGTCTGAGAGGGTTGTACAGATCTTAGAGGATATGTTGAGGGCTTGTGCGTTAGAGTTCCAAGGAAGTTGGGACAACCACTTAGCACTCGTGGAGTTCGCCTATAACAACAGTTATCAGGCAAGTATCGGCATGCCTCCATACGAAGCATTGTATGGGAGGAGGTGTCGTACACTGTTATGCTGGGGTGAGGTTGGCTTGACCAAACTCGAGGGTACTGAGTTGGTTGAGGTCACCAAATCAAAGGTGAAATTGATTCGAGAGAGACTCAAAGCGGCTCAGGATAGGCAAAAGAGTTATGCAGATAAGCGTCGAAGAACCTTAGAGTTTAAGGTTGATGACGAGGTATTCTTGAAAGTTTCTCCTTGGAAAGGAATCATTCGATTTCAAACCCGAGGAAAGCTTAACCCACGATATATAGGCCCATTCAGAATTATAGAGAGGGTCGGGGCCGTAGCATATCGTCTACAGTTGACTCCTGAGTTGGAGAAGATTCACAATGTATTTCACGTGTCCATGCTTAAGAAGTATGTGCATGATCCTTCTCATGTGTTGGAGAAGCCACCTGTAGAGGTACGTGAGGATTTGAACTACGCGGTTCAACCTATCAAGGTCACCGATAGAAAGGTGAAGAAACTGAGGAGCAAGGAAGTCCCAATGGTTAAGGTACTTTGGAAGAGCGATTGGGTCGAAGAAGAGACGTGGGAAACAGAGGCTTTGATGAGGAAGCAGTATGCTTTCCTATTCGAGTAGAGCTGTGAATTTCGGGGACGAAATTCCTGTTAAGGGGGGGTGAACTTGTGACACCGCACCCGAACGTCCTTGAAAATTCAAATTTAAAAAATTTGAATTTTATGTATTGAATTTCTGATTCCCAAACAATTGTGAAACGATTGTTGTTTTACGTAATTAATGATTTATTATTATACTGTTCGAACTCGTATATTAGTATCGGGCCTTATTAATAAATAAAAGAGCCTAGCATTTTCTAAATAGTGATACATAACGTTTCAAGACAAGTTGAGGAGGGGCGGGCGGCCCAGATATTATTTTGGGCTCAACCCGCTAAAATAGCAAGTATTCGAGAATGGCGTCGTAGGCCCACTCGGGGGCGACCCACACGGCTTGTAGCCCAATAATATGAATGACAAATGTCAAGATAAGTGATAGGATGATTAAAGAAGAGTACAAATGCCTATAACCCCATCTTTGGCATTATTGAGCCAAATAATGGGAGTAGGATTTTCCTTCTATATTATCCATCAAGTAAATTATTGAGATGAGCCTACACATATTGGGGATCAATAATGTTATGTAGGAAGTTGACTTGTTCTAAATAAATTAGGATGAGTACAAAAAGACATCTTTGACAAAAGATAAAACAATAGGACCCATTCTTCCATTTTTGGGTGTATTGATAGATATTTTGGATCCCAAATTAATTGGGATCAATGGGGAACCACCCCACATGATATTAGTACCTGCAAGACAAGGAAAATATGTGAGAAGACTCACCTTGGCCGCACCACATGGAGAAGCACTGCCCATGACACAATTGGAATCAAATTTTGGGGCCACCACCACTGTTTTCGCACAAACAGGTGTGCTGTTTTGTCTCCCTTCATTTTGAGAGTTGTACTCGTCCAAATGAGGTGTATAAGGTGTCCTTGGATAGCCTTTGAAGTCTATTTTCATAATTGAGTGGTCTCTGTTCGAGAGGAGAGAGTAGTCATCCAAAAATCGATCTGAAGCGAGCAGTGGTCTGTGAACTCGAGCTGTGAGAGTGCTGAGACTGTTTGGTTGATATCTCGAGTTTTACCAATCCAATTAAGGCGTGTGAGATACCAAAAGAAAGCTCTCAAGACGAGGAATCCGTGAAGGTCTGGTTTGCATCAATCGGAGTAGAGGAAGGCTTCCAAATCGTCCGAGCAGAACGCGACCTCGCAGGGACGGATTTACTCTTCTAAGTGAGTTTTTAATCCCAAAACCTTTCCATTCATTTTCCAAATGATATGAACGATTGGTGGGACTATTATACACTACTCCAAGTGTATAAAACATCCCTATTAAGTTATTTTATTGATGTAAAGGTTAGATACTAACCTAGATGCAAATATTGGAAAACTAGGAATCGAGTTAGCCGGAAAACACCCGTTCTAGGGGCTGTTTTCGTATCAACGATTAGGAGTTGAAATAGCAACTTGAGGAAGCTGTTTAACACCCATTTTCAAGCAAGGAACCAGCTCTCAATATTCCTTGGCCGAGGCTTTGGTCATTGGATCGAGAAGGAAGGTTTTAAAGCTCATTTGAGGTGAGGATCGACATCTAGTTGCTTACAACTTGTAGGTTAAGCATGAGATTACCTAAATGCCTAAATAATGTTTTCCATGGATTATGATGATAAACTATTGATGGAATATTGATCTATTTTCCAAAGAATGAATTGGGAAATGATTTGGTGAAGTATTGATAAAAATGGAGTTAAATGAACTATTGTGTGAAATAGGCATTTTACTCATGTGTGCATTGTGTAGATACATAAATGATTATTTATGTATTACATTGAATGATTAAGTTGCTGCTACATATCTCTAAATATGTAGGGTTTTACAAATGGAATATATGATGGATAAGAATAATCTTAATAGTATTGAAATACTAGTTAATGATTGTTGTAATTGTTAAGGAATTGAATCTATGGATTTGATTGAAATTGATGAACTTGATTGTGATGCAAGTGACTAAATTGATGTAATGTGATGCTAATACCATGGTTGGGCAGTCCGTAAGGACGTCCCAAAATAGATTATTGATATTACAATTCTAGGCATAGTGAGTGCTTAGGAATTGGGGTCTATGCCAATGTAAGGAGATGTACTTGAGCCGTGCTCATAGAATTGCATTGGGTAGACATGATGAGGTGATTGTAGTGCTTGGGAATTGGGGTCTATGCCAATGTAAGGAGATGTACTTGAGCCGTGCTCATAGAATTGCATTGGGTAGACATGATGAGGTGATTGTAGTGCTTGGGAATTGGGGTCTATGCCAATGTAAGGAGATGTACTTGAGCCGTGCTCATAGAATTGCATTGGGTAGACATGATGAGATGATTGTTGTGCATGGTGATGTAGTCGAGTTGGACTCGAGAATGCAAACATATGTGTTAGGGTTGAACCCTATGTATTGTTGTGACTAGGGGTCACGGGATTTTGGGGTATGTTTGATGAACAAACCTTGGGCCTATGGGCCGACTACTTGACTTTATATATAAAGTAAGTATATTTTTAAAAAAGGGGTAACTTGGGGTTACGGCCTATATTATACTATCACCCTATTTGAGGGTCTTGTGTTTGAAATACTTGTTGTATATCTATTAGATGCCATCCACACCAGCACTTTATAGCCCTATAGAGTGCTGACCCCTTCGGGGGCGTCCCACCACCATTTTTCAGGTTGAGGCTAGAGCTTGCTTCCTGTGCTCGTTGCTCGAGAGATCATCTAGGAGCGAAGACTTGGTTCGTGCTTCCTCCATTCGGGTTTTAAACATTAATAAACATGCTCATGGATATTTTACTATAGAGCCTGCGTGCTCATGAATAGCCCGGTGTGGCCTTTTGTTTTAAACAATGTTTTCCGCTGCGTTATGAATTACTTATTATGTTTTGTTTATGGATGTATATGTGTGAATGATATTCAAGACGCCTTGTATATTATGAATGTGTTGAACTGCGGTTGACTATTCATATTGTACGGCGGGTTGTTGACGTGTCCGGATAGGTCCGGGGCGTGACACTATGAACTGTGGAAAGGAAGCAAACCCAACATCAGCTACTTTCACATTTTTGGATGCAAATGCTACATCCTCAACAATGGAAAAGAACATCTAAAGGTCTTTCAAGAGAAAGCTGATGAAGGTGTGTTTATAGGCTATTCGAGCATGAGCAAAGCCTATAGAGTGTTGAATAAGAGAACCTTGCAAGTTGAAGAATCCATTCATGTCAAGTTTGATGACAACACCTCTGCTGAAGAAATATCAGAAACCCTGAAGAAAACCAATCTAGAAGACAAGACTTCAGAACCATCAGAAGTAGTCACAGTTAACCCTGTGTTCTCAACTCCTGCTGCTAATCCACTTCTGATAGACAAAGATGAAGATGAAGATGAAGAATCAGAAGATGAACAACCAGAGTTGTCCCGACAACAATTGTCTGAACCTGATCTAACTTGGTTAAGAGATCATCCTCCTAATCAAGTGATTGGACAAATCTCTAAAGGTGTTCAAACCAGATCATCATCCAGAAGAGAAGCCATGTTCACCTGCTGCATATCTCAAATGGAACCAATGAATGTAGATGAAGCTCTAGAAGATTCAGACTGGATCAATGCAATGCAAGAAGAGCTCACACAGTTTGAGAGGAATCAAGTATGGGAACTTGTTCCTAGACCAAAGCATCAGAATGTCATTGGAACCAAGTGGGTATTCAAGAACAAAGCAGATGAAGAAGGCAACATTGTAAGGAATAAAGCAAGGCTAGTAGCAAAGGGATACTGCCAAGAGGAAGGCATAGATTTTGATGAGACCTTTGCACCTGTTGCAAGACTGGAAGCAATCAGAATCTTCCTAGCCTATGCTGCCTACAATGACATCAAAGTCTACCAGATGGATGTCAAGAGTGCATTTCTGAATGGAGAACTTGAAGAGGAAGTTTATGTGGAACAACCTCTAGGTTTTGTCATTCCTACCCAGTCCTCTTGTGTCTACAAGCTTAGGAAGGCCCTTTATGGTCTTAAGCAAGCTCCCAGAGCTTGGTATGACACATTGTCCCTATTCTTAGTGAATCATGGGTTTACTAAAGGAAAGGTTGACAGGACTTTATTTCAGATTTCAGTTGCTAATCATATTCTGTTAGTGCAAATTTATGTTGATGATATTATATTTGGAAGCACTAATCCAGAATTATGCAAGAAGTTTTCTCAAGTTATGCAGAAAAAGTTTGAGATGAGTATGATGGGAGAACTAAGCTACTTCCTTGGATTGCAAGTCAAGCAAGTTCCAGAAGGAATCTTTATCAACCAAGGGAAGTACACCAGAGATCTAATCAAGAAGTTTGGAATAGATGGGAAGTCCTCAGTCAAGACTCCCATGAATGCATCTCAAGGAATTGGACCAGATGATGAAGGAAAGGATGTTGATGCAACAACATATAGAGGAATCATTGGATCTCTCCTCTACCTAACTGCAAGTAGACCAGACATAGCATTTGCTGTAGGAATCTGTGCCAGATACCAATCAAAGCCCAAGGAGAGCCATTTGGTTGCTGCTAAGAAGATCATCAGATATATCAAAGGAAATCCAAATGCAGGCCTATGGTATCCCAAGGGAGGTAACTTTGAACTAATTGGTTACTCTGACTCAGATTTTGCAGGTTGCAGATTAGACAGGAAGAGCACCTCTGGTCATTGCCAATTGCTAGGTGGGAGACTTGTCTCCTGGTTTAGCAAAAAGCAAAATTCCATCTCAACTAACACTGCTGAAGCTGAATATATTGCTGCTGGAAGCTGCTGTGCTCAATTACTTTGGATGAAGCAACAACTCAAGGATTATGGTGTTCAAGCAAAGGAGATCAAGCTTCTCTGTGACAATACAAGTGCTATTGCCATCACTCAGAATCCAGTGCTGCACTCAAGAACCAAGCACATTGAGATCAGACATCACTTCATCAGAGATCATGTGGAAAAGAAGCACATTTCAATTGAGCATGTTCCAACTGAAGACCAGCTTGCAGATATCCTAACCAAACCTCTCTCTGAGGCAAGGTTCAACAAACTAAGAGAAGAGCTGGGGATGATGGATGATCTTCCCAGAGATGCGTGAATCAGAGTTGCTGAAGGATCAGAGTTGGTCTCCATCAGAGGACCTCGTATCAGAATACCCCTTCTCTGATACATGAGCGGCTATTCATCAGAGTGGCTGTGGACTTAGAAAATTTTCTGAAATTTGGGGGAACTCATTTAAATGGACCGGATTTTACTATTTTACCCCCGGTAGTTATTTCCATAATCGAAAACGGCTTTCCGCCCACAATCCATTAAATGCGACCTCGAAACCCCAAATTATACCAAACGTCCACTAACCCAAATCAATTTATACCCCAATCTCATAACCTAAACCGCCATTGCATTTCATCTCTCTTCGACTTCAAGCTCTCAGAACTTCCAAATCCTCAAACCTCTGAATCCCTACTCTCTACATACAATGAAGTTCATCAACATCACCGACCTTTCTGAAACCGAATCTAAAGCTCTTGTAGCTAATATTGTCACTGGAATGAAGGTGGATTTGTCCTCGTTGCCGTTGCTGGCCGAAAACCAGAAAATTATCCAACAAGTCATCAACGGTTTGAATGACTCTCAGTTGAGCAAAATCGTTGCTCACCCCTATGAATGGTTCAGCACCATTGACGTGGCAGAGTTCTACCTCAACGCCCACATCACCGGCAACGCCATTCACTCTTAAGTTCAGGGCAAGAACTTGAAGATTGACGCTGATACCCTAAACGAGTTCTTCAACATCAAGCTCGATTCTCAGGACATAGACACTCCCACTCTGATTGATCTTGAAAGTGTGGAGGTTTCTGTCCAAGCTTTTGTGGACACCTACTGCCGGCCAGATGCAACCGGAGTAGACAAGCTGTACATGAAGAAGAATATGCTCAAGAAGGACTATGAGAGGTTGATGAGCATCATGCACAGGTGTTTGTGGTGCAAAACTGGCTCTACTGACCAGATGAACAACACTAACTCCAAAGCCATCTATGCTGTTCACCACGGCATGAACATCAACTGGGGGAAGGTACTATACAAACCCCTCACTGAATTTGTTGAGAAGAAGGACAAGAAGACTGGATTGTTTTCTACCAAGATGGGCCATGGTCTTCTGATCGCGAGATTGATCACTAATTCTGAGATAGCCCTACGAGAATCCACCAAAGTTGATCACATGAAGACAATCTTCCTGACTGCATCTCCCAAGATGCACGTTGCCATCTCTGCAGAACTAAAGAGAGAAGAAAAGTGGGAACAAAACAGGGAGAAGTTGGCTGCTAAGTCCAAACCTGCTTCCAAAAAGTCTTCAAAGCAAAAGGAAGTGATCTCTGACAAGCCTAAGAAGGTACAGGCTACGAAATTGAAGAAGAAGGAACTTCAGAAGCTACCTGAGGTCACTCCTGAGAAGGATGCATCAGAAGATGGTACATCAGAGGATACTGCATCAGATGTGGCTCCCAAAGTCACTCCTGTGAAAAAGGCCAACCAGAAGAGGAGAAGAAGAGCTATCATTCAGAGTGATTCTGATAGCTCCAAATCTCCTATCAGAGAGAAGAAGAAGAAAGCTTACTCTCCTCCTAAGGAATCAGAACCTCAGGGGGAACCAGCATCAGAGAAGGCTGATGTCCAGGGGGAACCTGCATCAGAGGTCCAACCATCCTCTGTACCAGACTTGCCAATCACCACCTCTCCACCAGGACACCTAGCTGCTTCTACCCGAGTCCTTGAGGTGGATCCCATCACAGCCCTAGAAAGACAATTTCAAAGGGTACTCACTTGGAGGAAGTGGAGAATGGGTCCCCTGCAGCAGATCCTTGCTCAAGCTACCATTTATGAATCTGAGGAAGTTGAAGTCCTCAAATGGGCAGGTACTGATGATGTCTCCTTATGCTTTGATCTTCAGTTTGTCCAATCTGTTCTTGAGAAAAAGAAGGCAAGTTTCAAAGGCAAGGAGAAGATGACTGCTACCTCATCAGAAGAGCATGTCAAGGCTCTAGGAGAGCATGAGATACCTATTTTTGAAGAATGGCTGATGGAGAAGAAAAGGAAGGAGTCTCTGATCAAGATGAAACCTATTCCAGGTGCAGAGGGAGAACCATCAACTGCCAATGATCTATCTCTGGCGATGGAGAATCTGATCATAGAATGGAGAGCCTCCCAGTTTGAAGAAACTTTACTTGAGGTAATTCCTGACTCTCCTACTCTTCCTATTGCTGCTCAACCCTCTCCCTCTCCCCCAAAATCCCCTTCACCCAAACCAACCACACCCTTATCCACACCACCTGAGAGCCCTCAACCACCTTCAAATTCACCAACTCCCTCACCCAAGAAAACCCCCTCACCTAAACAAACTTCATCCAAACCTGCTTCACCTTGCAAGCAGATAACCCCCACCAGAAATCGCTCACCCTCACCTCCTCCATCTCCTCAACATCAGACCACCCCCGCACAGCAGACCTCACCTCACCAGAGCTCCCCCCATCAGAAATCCAAGTCTACATCTCCTCAGTAGAAGCCATCATCAAAACCCCCTTCTCCCCAACACTCTGCTGCCTCTACTCCTAAGAGAGAACCTGTTGTGAGGATTCTCTCCTCCTCTGAGGATAATGATGGATTTCTCACATCCTCCTTGGCTGGTGATCTCCAATCCAACAAGAGAAAGACACCAACCCCTCCACCCTCTCCTGCTCCTCAACAGCCTCAAGGAAGTGATATGCATCTGCCAGAGCCTCCTAGAGAAGAAACCTGCATTCCCTTCAATGAGTTTGTTGAATCTGCAGAAGAATTTGGTGATCTATGGCGGATATACGCACTGAGATGAAAGCTATGATGGACGAGAAATTGCAGTTGCTGTTAGGGAAGATGGAACGTCTCGAAGCCAACGGCAGTCACAGCAGGATGAGGGGAAGATCAACCACAAACCGTCGTCGCCATACTTCAGCAAGCATGAGCTCTTCTAGTTCCGAAGGTAAATCTCATGAAACTCATTCAGTTTCACGCGACCCTTATTAGACTAGAATCACCGACCGTGTATATACGGGAAAGAAGGTCGATTTACCACTTTTTAGTGGAGACGATGCTTATGGATGGCTGATTAGGGTTGAACGCTATTTCAAACTCAACCATGTGGCAGAAGAGGATAAAGTAGAAATAATCTTGATAGCCATGGCCGATAAAGCTTTGAACTAGTATCAATGGTGGGAGGAAAAGACATCAGACCATTCTTGGGTTAATTTCAAAGAGGCGTTGATCAGGCGTTTCCAGCCTACCTTAGTACAAAACCTGTTTGGCCCTATGCTCAGTGTTAAGCAAACAACATCGGTAATGGACTATAGAGACCTTTTTGAGATGGTTGTCGCTCCTCTCAAACTGGCTGACCAAGAGATGTTATTAAAAGGGGTATTTCTCAAGGGTCTCAGAGCGGAATTGAAATTATACCAAACCAGTGGGTTAACGGAACTTATGGACATGGCTTTGCTAGTTGAACAGAAGAACAAGGTGTGGACAGGAGAAACAAATAAAGAAGAAGACAACAAAGGTTGGAAGGAACAAGGAGGAAAAATGGTCAGACCCTAGAACTGGGTGGAAGCAACAAAGGGAAGAACAACTGCTCCGGAGAGAACACTCTCAGAGAACAAACAGGAGGAATCCCCTAAACCGAATAAGACATGGGAAAGTGGCCAAAGGTTGACACAAGCGGACTTAGAAGAAAGAAGCAAAAAGGGCCTATGCTTCAAATGTGGAAACAAATGGGGCAAAGAGCACGTTTGTGGAATGAAACATTATCAATTTATTTTGATGGAAGAGCCAGAAGAAGAGAAGGGATCAAAAGATCAGTTACATGAACGGGATGAAGCTGAAAACTTGCTTGAACCTAATGCCAAAGCAGTCTCTTATCATCCACCTTGAGGACAAGGTGGAAGTTCAAGGGGGGAGTGATGTTAGGAACCGGACACTCATTTATTTGGGTCTATAAAGTATTTTAATGTTTTTCAATAATAGGGTTCTAGGCCCAACAACTTAAGTGAGGGCCAATTATAAAAAGGGGGTTAGGGGGAGAATAAACGGAGGCAAATTTTGGGATCGGGACTGGGAAATCGGGAGTGTGAGCCCACTCGAAGAGTCTCAGCCTTTTATTACGTTACTTTTCTGTATTCCACCCTTAAATCTTCATCAATATATTACTTTTTTGACTGGGATTCCTCTGTTACCTATCAAGGACTCATATAAAACATCTCATAACTCCCATAATTAATGCCTCCTATATCCACGGCTCTTCAGTTTAATCCCTCCCGCTGCCAAATATCCATGTGTTCATAGATGGTGGGTGTTCCCTCGCGGGCCATGATCTCCCTATCTAGGCCCAAGTGACATTAGTTATTAATCCTGAATTATGGGCTATGTTTGTAATTTGTAGTTGGGCTATGGTCATAGTCCATAGTACCATCAAGGCTAATAATATAGAAACAATTATGAGTTTGTATTGATCTCTGTTCTATTATTCTATATACTAAGTCCCCATTCTGTTGTCTGAAATCTCCCGGAAGTCTCTGCCTCAGTATCATAGGAGCTTCCATTTACTCATCCAGAGAGGCGAAGGTGACATGTATCCATCATTCGGTTAGAGGAAACAAACGTGTCGCCACTGCACTTCCTTGGCCGATGCGAGTATCTGCCAATTGATACTTCTATCTAGAAAAATGTAGCACGTGCTCAACACATAGTCACTTTTGATGTAGTTTTTGATGAAACAATGTATTTTTTTATGAGATAGAAAAGTGAAAAGAAAGTTTCGAGCTCTCTTACACCTTTTAGTTTTAAAGTGCTTAAATTTAAAAACAAGTCTTAGTTTTTCAAAGCAAAAAATTGAAAAGCAATTAAAGGAGCTTTTTCAAAACTCAATTAATTTGAAAAAATGACACTTCATACCTAAGAGCCTCCGACACCGGCCGGATAGTGATTAAATTGGACTTTAATAACAAATTGACAGATTAGGAAACTTTGGCACAAGTACTTACAAAGATTCTATGCATTTTTTCATAGTAACCTCTCATCGAAGTTGCCACTTGAGCTCCATGAAAACCCATTCCAAGGAAGCACACATGAAAAGGCCCAATTTTGGAAGTGCGGTTTTGGGCAAATACCGGACAGCCCCAATACCATTCCAATTCAGAATCTGGTCCACACCCACACAAACATTAGGATGGCTACTCTGGAGGATTGTGCTACAATATGAAAACTTGCAAGTACGGGACCTATATATGCATACCACAAACCTTTATATTTACCCATCTTTGTGCATGTGTGTTTGTGTGTGTCACTTGAGTGGCTTCTATACTCGTGATGGTATAGAAACACAGCAGCAGCACTGGAGTAACCAACAGTGCACTCTTGTGATACTAACACAGCGGCACCAACCATTGGACTTACTTGCCCCAATCATCAATTGTATTGTAAGTAGTATAACAAAAGTCAGTCTGCAAGAAAGTGATTAACGCACCTTACCAATTGCAATATCTTTATTTGAAGGTCTCATACAAATTCTGTAATAAGCCCCTAGAACCCCCCACACCTAAGGTTCTCAGCCAGATAATAACCACAACAACTAGGCAGACAGGCAGACAAAGTACATAATTCCTTTCTCTCTAGTCTGATTAAATCAAAGAAAAATGCAATGCAAATAAAGTGCAGCATTTCCTCCTCTCTAGTCAGATTAAAACAAAGCACGATGCAATGCAATGACTTGAGGCCAACATAAATTTGTGCCTAAGAAGACAGATGATCAGCACCATCATCAGATGATCAGTTTGAATTGACGTTTACGTCACTCACACTCTTAGAATCTGAAGCTTGTTAGAGAAGGCAATAGCAACCCAATCAGGCTGGGATGAAGACCACTGAAGCTGTTCAATCTCAGCACCAGCGGTATAAGCCAGGATTGGATCCAACCCCCCCTCTGCAATTGGCGGACCCATGGAGGACAGGTCCCAGATGAGTGCCTGGGAGTCATCGCCAGCTGTGCAGATGTGGCATGAGCTGTGCGGCGCCCACGCAATGGCATTCACGCCAGCCTGGTGCCTCTGCAGCTCCACCACTGGCAGCGTTGGGAATCTGATGTCAAGCACCACGACCTTGGAGCTGTCCATGATGATGGTGGCCATGTACCTGGGGTCCTGTTTGTTCCAACCCAGGCGGACGAGAGGTGTGTCCGGCTCGGAGCTCTCGTATATGATGGTGGAGTGCTCCTTGTCGCGGAGGTCAAACACTCTAACGGAGCCGTCGGCGGAGACAGATGCGAACACGCCGACCCCTCCCCAGGCGATGTCGTACACCTCCTTGTCGTGCGCGATGAGTTGGGTGTCTACTGTCTCCCTATCGATGTCCCATATGGTGCAGGTGGTGTCGATGCTGGAAGTGCCTATCCGCTTAGGCTCCGCCTCGTTCCAGTCGAAGGAGGTCAATGGACCGGAAAACTCGCTGTTGCGATTGTTATTGAGGACGCTTTTGCTCTCAACGCGCGAGCCGTCTTCGGCGACACGCCAGATCCGTAGGTAGTCGCTGGAGGTGGCGAGGAGGTCAGGCTTCTGGCATTCCTTGTCGGGGATGAAAATGGCTTTAGTGGGAGGGTAGGGGTGCTCGAAGGAGAGGTTAGGATCGGAGCGGATCTCTCCGTTGGAGTCGTCCAGCTGTACAATCTCGACGCGGTTGGGGTACTGTTCCAGCAGGCTGGCAATGGCGAGTCGGTAGTTCTTATCCTTCCGCACGCTCCAATTCATTGCATAGATGTGCCATGGTGCCTCGTATGTGTATATCTCCGCACGCCTCTGCTGTTCGTCCGACCCGTCCTGAACAGGAAGATGATCGCTGCTCGCCCCCATATCGTCTTCTATCTCAACCCCACAAACCCTACCCTCGCTTCTTCTATTTCCGATTGGCAATTCCGGTTTGCCACCGCTACACAGGTTTGGCAAATTATATCCTACCCCGTGATACTCTTCTCTGTCCACGGCTTAAAAAAACAATTTGGGAAATGAGGCAAATAAGCCTTTGAATTAACAAAAAAAAAAAAGTGCAAATCACCCTTTATATAGGAGGTTCTGTCCGTCTGTCGTCATTTGGAATTTTTTGATAAATGTTTTTGAGTATCTTCTTCATTAAGTCTAGTTTACTCATACCAAATTTCAGCCAAAAATAAAACCAGGAAGACAGTCAAATTATTTTCTGAAATATGCTGCGTTGTTTAACTACGCATTTATCTTCAAAATTCATTTGACTGCCTTCCCGATTGAATTTTTATTTGAAATTTGGTATGGGTAAACTAGACTTATTGAAGAAGATGCTCAAAAAATTGCATCAAAAAATTCTACCAGGAACCTCTCCAAATGACGACAGCCAGACAGAACCTCCTATATAAGGAATGATTTGCACTTTTTTGGTTAGTTCGAGGGTTTATTTACCCCTTTTCCCAAACAATTTTGATCTTTGTACACACCAATGTACAAATACCCCAAAAAAAATCACCCCCTCTTTTCCCCTCACCTCACACCCGCGTATCTCACTCGCTCCCCCTCCCCTTTCTTGAAAATCAAAACATCCGCCTCCTTCTCTCCCAAATCGAAACTCATCTCCCCCATACTTCTCTCCCACATCCTCACGACCACTGTGCGTTTGAGGTGTTAACCGACATCCCCGCGACCACTCTCCTCTTCGAAGCCGTTCTCCACCTCTGCAGATTCGAACCCCTTCTCTAAGTGTGGGCGATTCGAGGGTTTAGAAGCGACGAAACCCCTTCTTTGCGCACAACTTTAGGACGACGAAACACCACTGGAGATGGCGGACGGGTATGTATCATTTCCCAACCTTTGTTTCTTTTTTGGGTAATTTTTTAATTTATTGGGTTTTTAGCATTTCGAACATGGGTCTGTGGGTATGTGAAGTATGTGACACACACCAATGCTTTATTTCTGGTTTTAAGACTGAGAATATGTGAAGTATTGTCTGTGAATCAACATTTATATATCATATGGTATGCTTCCTTTGTTGATGTTCATAAGGTGTGTGTGTGGTGGTGAAATCTTCATTGGGTGTTAATTGTTGTCTTTCAATGAAACTGTGTCTATGAAATAGTCTAATTCCTATGTTCATGTTTCACATTGTCTGTGTGGTGGTGCAAAGTTGATTTGGTGTTAATTAGTGTATGTCCATGATATAGTTGTCTGTGTGGTGGTGTGAAGTTGATTTGGAGTGTTATTTATTGTCTGTGAATCAATTTGTGTGTATTATATAGTGTAGTTCCTTTGTAAACGTTTACAAGTTATATGTGTTCTTTATTGTGTATTATATTATTGTCTGTGTATTATATTATTGTCTATGAATCAAATTAGGAGTGTTATTTATTGTGTGTTTGTACTGTTTTGGTCTATGAAGGTCTGTTTTGTCTGTCTACCATAAGTTTATTTATGTTTGTCCAACTGCCAGGGCCCTGAAGTAATGCATTCCAAGTCATGAATATTTCCCTGCGCAGTATTCCGTATGTTCAGACTTCAGAAATGCAGCAAAGTGGGTACTAAACAAATTATCTCCAACACAAATGGAAAGGTTTCGCGATTTACCATGGGGGCATCTGATTGACATCCCAAACACTGGCAACTCTGGCCAAATCTTGCACATGCTGGCCTTACACCTTGTGCAGGACCAACCAGATGATGAGTTGTGGTTTGCTATTGGGGGGAAACTGTATAAGTTCACCTATGTGGATTTTTGCCACATAAGTGGATTACCACTAGGTGCCGAACCAGAACCTGCCACGCCCGAGGATGAAGATTCTGGAGATGATTCAGGACACCAATCTGGCCAAGAAGATGAACCAGTAGGGGCCCTTGCTGAGAAGTACTTAGGTGGCAAAGTTAACATTACCCACGCAAATATGAAGAACATCTTTAAAAAGCTGAACCCATCCAAACGTGGTGATGATGCTGTGAAGTTGGCCTCCTTGTTCTATATTGAGTGTGTTCTACTTGCAAAGGACAATAGTACGAGGATAAATGAATCATTAGTCAGATTAATCATCAGTCAGATTGGTCAATGATTTAGAGGCATTCAGGCAGTGTCAGTGGTCACTTCGTTCTTACAAGATATTGGTGAAACATATGAAGGACCTGATGCATGACCAAACTCAGAAGTTCAAGGAGCGGAAGCAGAACAATCCTAAGTATAAGAATGCAAAGTTATCTGTTTACGGTTTTCCACTAGTGTTGCAAGTATATATGACAACTTCCCTATTCTACTTATTTTTTGTTTATATATAGGTGGATCTTTTATTAAATAACTCATATGAATATAATTTTCCTATGCCCTATATACGTGGATTTTAAGTCACTAACAATGTGTACAGGTCATTACATTTTAAAATACAGGAGAATAGGTAGATTACAGAGGGTTCTTAAGAGCATAAAGTGAAGATAAAAGCAATCACCGCTGGTGATGAAAATCCATATCTTCAAATGAATAAGTTGTTCTTCTGCCCGGACATATAATCAACTCTCATCTGCACCATTATAAACCTTATATTAAATAGTTACTAACTTATTATTGAACTAGATTTATTATTTAGTAGTTAACTTGAGCCAAATATACACGTCCATTCTTATTTCGTGAACAAAATTGTATTTCGTGTTTATTCTTATTTTTATAGGTGTGGGCGTACGAAGAAATTCCTGATCTTGGTACGAACTTTTCAAACAAAGTAGCTAATCATGACGTGCCTTTGCTGAATTGGACGGCTTTACGGAAATTTCATTACTCCAAGCTGAGACGACTGATTTTTCCAGAGGTATGTTGCATTGATTAAGTTAATTTAAAATAGCCTATATTTTACTAATTTTTATTTATCCTAGGAGGAGGAAAATGTTTCTGATTCAGAGGAGGGAGAGGAAGAAGATGAAACAATTGAGGAAGACATTCGCATTTTCCAGAAACTTAAAATATTGGAGGAGATGCGGGACCTACGGCTCTGTGTTGAAAGGGTGGAAAATAAGATTACTTCTGTCGAAGATAGTATTTCAGAAATAAAGGTACTACTTCAGAAGCTGCTTGCCAATAAGAACCCATCGGTTGAGCAAGAGGTATGCACTTGTCTGTGTCATTTACGGGCCATTTACATTAACTACGCAACTAACACTATCAACTATCTGCAATGTATGTTGAAAAGGTTGATAATGATGATGTGGTTGTTCAGGATGAAGCTGGGGTTGACGCTAAGGATGAGAAGATAGTACAAACTGCTGACAGTGAAGATGTCGCCGTTATTCATGATGATGCCGGTGAGGGTGAGGGTCAGGCTGCCGCTGCAGATGTGCCTATGAAGACTGCGGGTGTAAATGAAGAAGCTGCCGCTGCAGATGGTGATGGGGTGGCACACCGGCAGTTATCTTTGACAGCAGATTTAACCGCTCATGAAGATGGTGTTAATAAGGAAGGTGGGGAAGCTGGCAGACAGGCAGATTTCATCATCTCAATTGTGGTTACTGAGGTATGGTTGTTCATGTATTTTTGTTATTTTTGGTGTAGAATGAGAAATGAAGTACTTATTTAATTGATAGGTGAATTGGGAAATTGAGCAGAATAAGGAAGGCAGCACCTTCCCAGATGTTATGATTTGTTTAAACGAGGTAAAGATGTGTTGTTCAGTTTGTATTATCTTTGTATTAATGTCAATGTTGGTGTGCACATAAGTGTTCATTCCAATGACATGAGTAGCAAATGCATTTTAAGTTATGGAAGATAAACTCGTGTTCATTCCAATGGTGTGCATGCATTTAATCTGAATGAATATATACAAATCAATAGAAGTAGCAAAACTGAAATTTCATGCACTACTTCTATATTTATACTAAATAGTCCTTAATAATTTGAATGTTTGTCTGTGTGTAACAAAAATTGCCTGTGTTGCTTATAGGACTCTCAGTAGGTGGAGGACAAATTACCTCCGGTATCAGCACCCGGTCCTTTTGAAAATTTGGATTGGGATGTTGATGATGTTGGGAGTGAACCGATTGATGTTGAAACCGTTGAAGTTGTGACCACGAAACTACGACATAAGAGAAGACGGTGCCGTACAAACTTCAAATGCTCACCATAGGTGCACCCCATTCTCTCAATCCAACTTGCTCTGTTTCACCCAACCGATGATGATATTGCATCTCTGAAGGACTGGATTGAAGAACCTGACAATGTTGAACCCAAAACGGTTGTTCTGAATCTGCCTTCATTTGATGAAGTGGACAGGGAGTTTTTCCGTGAGCTTGTTCTGCCAAAAGAGACTATATGGTCCTATGTGAGTGCCTTATTTTTTTCAAATATTAACATGATTATTTATATGTCTCAGTGTCTCACGCTCTTTTTTCTTAGCACATGGATGCTCTATCGTACCTGCTTCTTAAAGATTGTAAGTCAGAGATGCCGTATAAGCTAATAAACCCTTACTTTACGGTATGTGTTGTTTATCTTTACGTGCTTCTATGTGTTGCATCTAAAAGATTGTATGTCTCACCCTTAGTTTTTTTGTGCAGCAACAACTGTTGAATAAGGATACTAAAGATGAGAACGTCTGGAGAGGTTTGGACAAGGTAAGTGCTTAAACTATTTTATTTAACTGTTAATTGTTTGTGTATGTTTTTTTTTGTTTGTAGACAAACCAAGTGCTTAAGTATTATTTCTTTTTTATTGTGTTAAGGTTTTCGTACCTCTGAATGTTGTTGGGATGCATTGGGTTTTAGCGGAAATTGACCTACATGCCAAATTTGTGCGCTGTCACTACTTTAAGGATATTGTGAACAATTTTGTCTAATAGTTTAGCTTGAGTACAAAGATGTAGTCTAAGGGAGAATTTTCTTGGTATATTCTGTCTGTTCTGTGAATATCCCTTTAACTACCTATGCATGCTAATTGTTTTAATTCCGTGTGGTGATTATCGTAAGTCCCGTTGTTCAGTTTGCTTGATGACAAACAAAGGATTAAGTGTGGGGGAATCTGATAAGTCCGTATTTAGACACACATTTGATGCGTGTTGAGATCGGCTTTTGATGATTTTCCTAGCTTTAAGGTGTTACAAGTCTCAATTTTAGCTCAAGTTATGTTTACCAGGCGTTGGTTCGAGGTTTGTGTCATTTGGAGTCAAAGTCAGGAATTTAGAGTTCGGCAGCGGCAATTGAGAAGAAATCGAGATGATTCGAGATGCATTCGAAAGTGGATTGAGAGATTTGGAGGTCACCGGAAGGTTCACGATGAAGATTTGATGACAAAAGAGCTCTACGTGCGTGCATGCGTGTGTGCGTGCGTGCATGCGTGTGGGCGTGCGGGCGTGGGCGGGCGGCCAGGTGGGCGGGTGTGGGTGTGGGTGGGTGTGTGGGGGTGGGCAAGTGTGGGCGTGGGGGCGTGCGGGCATGCGTGTGGGCGTGTGGGCGTGCGCTCGTGTGTGCGTGCGTGTGGGCGTGCGTGCCTGTGTGCGTGTGGGCGTGCGGGCGTGCGTGCGTGCGTGCGTGTGGGCATGCGTGGGTGCGTCCGTGCGTGTGTATGGGTGTGCGTGCGTGCAGGCATGGGCGGGCGGGCGGGGCGTGCGGACGTTCGTGCGGACATGCGTACGGGCGTGCGGGCGTGTGTGTGTGTGGGCTTGCGTGTGTGTGTGCATGTGGGCGTGCGTGTGTGCGTGCGTATGGGCGTGCGTGGGGGCGTGCGTGTGGGCGTGTGGGCGGGCGTGCGTGGGGGCGTGCGTGGGGGCGTGTGGGCGTGCGTGCGTGCGTGCGTGCGTGCGGGCGTGCGGGCGTGCGTGTGGGCATGCGTGTGGGCGTGCGAGGGTGTGTGTGGGTGTGTGGGGTGGGCATGTGTGGGCGTGCATATGGGCGTATGTGGGTGCGTGTGTGCGTATGTGGGTGTGTGTGTGCGTGTGGGGGGGGGGGGGGGGGGGGGGGCTTGCGTGCGTGCGTGTGCGTGTGCGCGTGTGTGTGTGGGCTTGCGTGCGTGAGGGCGTGCGTGTGTGCGTATGTGGGTGCGTGCGTGCGTGCCTATGGGCGTGTGTGCGGGTGTGTGGGCGTGTGTGTGTGTGTGTGTGTGTGTGTGTGCGGGCTTGCGTGTGTGCGGGCGTGCGTGCGTGTGGACTTGCGTGCGGGCGTGCGTGTGTGGGCTTGCGTGTGTGTGTGCATGTGGGCATGCGTGTGTGCGTGCGTATAGGCGTGCGTGGGGGCGTGCGTGGGGGCGTGCGGGCGTGCGGGCGTGCGGGAGTCCGTGTAGGCATGCGTGCGTGCGGGCGTGTGTGTGGGTTTGCGTGCGTGTGTGCAGGCATGGGCGGGGCGGGCGGGCGTGTGTGTGCGCCTGCGGGCGTGCGGGCGAGCGTGCGTGCGTGCCTGCGTGTGCGTGTGTGGGCTTGCGTGCGTGCGTGTGGGCCGTGCGTGCGTGCGGGAGTGTGGGCGTGCGTGCTGGCGTGCATGCGGGCGTGCGAGCGAGCGGGCGTGTGTGCGTGCGTGTGCGTGCGTGGGGCGTGCGTGTGGGCGTGTGTGCGTGTGTGCGGGCGTGTGTGTGTGCGTGTGTGTTTGGGCGTGCGTGCGTGCGTGTGGGCGTGCATGTGGGCGTGCGTGTGGGGCGTGCGTGCGTGCGTGCGTGTGTGCGTGCGTGTGTGCGGGGCGTGGGCGGGCGGGCGGGCGGGCGTGTGTGTGTATGTGTGTGTGTGTGGGCATGCGTGGGTGCGTCCGTGCGTGTGTATGGGTGTGTGCGCGTGCGCGTGCGTGCAGGTGTAGGCATGCGGCGTGCGTGCGTGCGTGCTTGGGTGTGTGTGTATGTGTGTGGGCGTGTGGGCGTGCGTGCGTGCGGCCGTGTGTGCGTGCGTGCGGCCGTCTGTGCGTGTGTGCGTGCGTGTGGGTGTCGTGTGGGGGGGTGTGGGCGTGCGTGGGTGCATCCGTGCGTGCGTGCGTGCTTGGGTGTGTGTGTATGTGTGTGGGTGTGTGGGCGTGTGGGCGTGCGTGCGTGCGTGCGGCGGCCGTGTGTGCGTGCGTGCGGCCGTCTGTGCGTGTGTGCGTGCGTGTGTGCGTGCGTGTGGGTGTGTGTGTGGGGGGGTGTGGGCGTGCGTGGGTGCATCCGTGCGTGTGTCTGGGGTGTGTGT